TCGGTGAGTATATTGTAGGCCGGGTACGTAAACTTCGAGTTACGCACGTTTCCTCTACGCCACGCCTAACGCGTAACTCGACGCAACTAAATGCATATTTAGTGTCTTCGAGTTACGCACTGGGCTCATAACTCGATAAGTCTGTATAACAAGCACAGCTTATAGTGCACTGGAGTTACGCGCTTAATGCACACTAGTGGCGTGACACTGCTCAWCGTCTGTCGGCGTTTTAAATAAATTCAGTGACTCGAACGTAAATTTGTCACRTAATCTTGCCGGGCGATCGGAAATCCGATTATTGCTTCAAAATGTCCAAATAGTTCTTTTTTCATATAAAATGTTGAATATCGCATGGCATGGTCCTCCAGCATCTCTTTCGAACTTTTGCTCATGTTTGAATATAAAAATACATCGTAATATAAGCAAAAACTTACTCTTTATTATCCCTTTATACTATATGAATGGAGATACTGTAAGATTCGACCTTTAAACTGATGGATGGGAACGGATTGCGAATGGATATTCACCTCATTTTCCATATATGAAAAATCTAAAACACGACCGCATTGAATGCTGSTGGACCATGTACTTTTAAGGCACTCTATACACCAGCCATACAGGGCGGGCTTCATGCATTTTGACCCCCTTTGTACCTCATTTCTAAGTATCTAACAAACTTTATAGTCATATACGTGACAGTCCTTCTCGGTAACCTAAATAATTTATAAAAAAAGCATTTGACGAGGCTGTAATTTGAATTTTTTGCTTCGTGTACTTGAACTGTTAATCTTCTTCTGCTGTGATCCCGGATATCCCTCACTACAGTTAATTGATTATTATCTTTGCTGGAAAAAATAGTAATTGTGGGGAGAGGGCTTAGTATAGAATGTAGCAGATTATAGATCTTGTAGCCTAGTTTCAGCTTCCCTGTCGCTCGGATTCAGGATTTTAGTGATGGATTTTTCCCTGGATTCCGGATTCCACAATACACCTTTTCAGTTGCACTTAGGCCTCGATAGCAAGCTAATTATTCTTTTGAATTTGACCAGTGAGACTATTCATATCAATATTTTCATTGCTCATATTCCTACCAATTCAAAAGAATATTTAACACGCTGTCGAGGCCTAAGAGCAACTGAAAAGGTGTATTGTTCTGAATTCTGGATTCCTCTAATTGCSCTATGACAGAATTACGTCACGCAAAAACATTCCATCGTTTGRACGTTCAGGATAATSCTCGGTASAGGGGGCGGAGTCGATGATTATAAAGGAAATGTACATGTTTTATCAAAACCAAATACAATTGAGATAGAGAACATGAATAGGTTCAAATTTCTGCCGTTTTAGAGAATTTATTCTGACTGTACACTCTGCTTTGACGTCATTATGCGATAGGGTCATTGGAATGAGTTGATTCCGTATTCAAGGATTTCAGTCCCAGTTATATTTTTTATTCTTGGTGTGCAACCAGGTGACTAAGAATCCACTGAGAAATAAASAACAAAGCTATCGCCGCCATGTTGGATGAAGAACAAGAGAAACAAATGAGGAATGCTTTGTGATTTTCATCCAACATGGCGGAGATGACGTAATTTGCACGCTAAKTAAGAATTTGATTCCGGATTCCAGACAAACCAGACAGGACGGAAAATCAGTAGATCAAGTATGATAATAATAATAAATTGAATTATTTAAAATTTATGTTTCAGCGATACCGTATGAATGCATCGAGAAGACGATCAGCGCCTTCTGCAGTGCTAAAAGCAGCCCTTGTTCCAAAACCTCATTTAGCGTTAGTTAGAGGGTAAGTATCGCATCGTCTTACGTATAACAATAATCTATTTTGCTTCCTGTCGCAAAAATCTTGGTTCAAAATCGTCCGAAAAATTTGTCATGCATTAATTCAATTCAATATTTTTTTTCCCTTGAAGACCGGGTTGTGAAGTGTTCAAGGACTAAAATTAATCGAACGCCTTTGAATTTCCCGTTTAAGTAATTATTCGAAAATTTGGGAAATAATTTGCATGTTTTATGAGGTAGTTTTGTGAGGTTTCGCTTGTTAGCAGCATTTGGTCATTGTAAAGTCAAACGTCGTGAAATAATTGCATTATTTTCTTTTCATCATTGTTTCACGGGTTGAATGACTTCACTTACTCTTTCACGCTTTTAGTCTTTGCACTGTACCTGCATTATGGCAATCAATGGTTAATTAACTAATAATTTCAAGTTTTCCAAAAATTCAATAACGTAAGAAGACGTTCGCGTGCGTGCGTTTTTCTGTGTGCTAACTTCCATTACCCTGGAATTCTGTGAGGTCAAGATTATTATGTTCGCTGTTGAGCASTGTATTACGAAGACGGAAGCTGCTGTCCTCACGACAAATTGCCGCTTAGCAATTTCATGGGAATAATGTCCTCAATTATTGCAAAATATTGAAATRTTTAGCGAAAAACTCTTCAAGTAACTGTTATTATTTCAAAATTATACATTTGACAATTATCGCGCGTCTGAAAGAAACGGTTCATTTTTATTTCTTGATCAAKGATTTTCATTTTMARAWATTTCCTCATTTCTATCGCTGYTGGTTTTTACAACAAAATTTCGAGAACCTTATTATTTATCTTTATTTTATTTTTTGTTAGTTCAGTTAGTATTTATAATCACTTATTTTTTTCCTTTTCTCTTACGAAAGCATTGTTTCTATGGTGACTCGAAGTATTTTGACATACTTCCGTTAGCAATAAAAAAAAACACTTTATTCAATCGAATTGAAGGATTTTTATTGAACTAAATCATAAAAGATGATRCAGACATAACGGTTAAACGTATGATTTCATTTTGAATATGTTCATCGTGACTACAAAATATGTTATATTTTGAATGGACAGATTATGATAAGGCTTACTCTTGGGTCCGCAGTCGTCCTACGAATGTCACTTCCATATTGACATGACAARCATTAGCTGATTTGTTTTAAAAAGGGTCAAAATACTAAACAATATGGGGMGCTATTATGCGCTATTAGCCAACACGTAGATGCCTATATTTTTATTTAAAAGTAACTCAACAATTCTTTCTACAGCATTCCTTTAGAAGGTGGAAGTCTGAAAATCAAGTCAGACAGCTCTTCAGACGCTCCACATTCAAGGCACTTTGTACAGGAAGGAAGCGCTCAGGTCACTACGGTAGGTCACTATAGCAAGCATAGTAAATTTTAACACAATACGTACATGYACATCATACATAATATCACGTCTGCGTTTACCCTTTTGCATGAGCGGGGTTTATACAAAGAAATCACGCATTATATGTCATGGTTCGCGCTGCTCCTTGAAATCCTTGAAAAGTCCTGGATTGAACTCGTTTTCAAGGGCGCTTGAAAAGCCCTTAAAAATGGGGAAAAAGCACTAAAACTCCTGGAAAACTCCTTGAATCTGCTGAAATTGACATGTTKCTTTTTGCCTTCATGATTCAGTGCATTTTTTTCTGTATTCATTTTAGAATTCATTCACTTGTTTTTCCTTCCAGGGAGTTTCGACACAAGARCGTCACCTATTTCTATTAAGCGACTTGCTTTTTATTGCTAAGGCAAAGTAAGTATCATTTGCTTGGTGCTTTGTGTAGTTTGATTCCTTTCACAATGTATATGGCGTGGAAAATTGTCATTGTATATTTCATACAACTTTTATCATCTGTTTTGAATCACATGAAAAAAATGTTACCTTCAGTCTCATATTGTATCAAATTTTACTGAGATGTACTTGCTATGAATTGAAAGTTGCTGTTAGAATTATTATCGTTGTTTTGTTATTGTTACCATTGTTGCTGTTGTTGTTTTAATGTCTTTTAACCACAGCTAACTTGTTAATAAACTKCTACTTTCAGGTCGGCTGCRACGTACAAGYTGAAACATCGAGTACGAGTTAGCGAGTTATGGYTGTCTAATTGTGTCGATGACGTCAGTGAYTCGAGACCTGTYGATAAATCGTTTGTTATAGGTTGGCCTACTACAAATTGTGTATTTACCTTCAGGTGTGTGAAATATCGAAGAGAACAAATACCGCTATTGTGAGCTTCATTCGAATATAAAAATAACTTGACACACGCATTTTCTTTAGTTATAATACTCTTCTTGGGAGAATCTACGTAGCACTCAGTTGATGTAATATATTCATAAAGATATAATACAAAACACATAATACAATAGAACGAGAAACAATGGAATACAATACATTTTATGAATACATTACATCAACTGCGTGCTACGTAGGTCACCCCTACTCTTCTTCAGGGTTCCCAGCGCCATCTTGAAATGTAGCCGTGCCTTTGCATCGAAGCGAGACGACCGTTAAGCGTGCAATGATAGAAACCTTCTTTCGCACCTACAGACAATTATTCACAGGTTCTATTATTGCACGCTCAACGGTTGTCTCGCTTCGATGTAAAGTCACGGCTACCTTTCAAGATGGCGCAGGGAAACGTGAAGGAGACTATTGAAAACGATACTCCCACGATTTCAATGTTGAATTGTTGTCATGTGATCGGGACCTCAATGCAGGCAAGAATCGACAGTAAACAAGGAGAGGTTGTATCGGTCATATGAAACTCAGGGAAGGCAGGTTTTTATTGTTAACCACTTCTTGTGCAATCGCTTTCAGCTCGACCGAGCAACGTGATTCTTGGTATTCTACATTGAAAAAGTAAGTCAACCTAACACTGAGCTCCTTATTTTGTAAACCATAAAATCAAATGAGCAATAAAGAYTGAGTTTCAGAGTATAGAAAAGGACAAAAAAATACGCTTTGATTTTGTCAGATACACAACCATCCAAAAAGCTGCTGAAGATCCTAAGTCGGTCACACTGAAGGTCTACAATAGAGACATGGAAGCAACTGATTCGTTTGGAGTTGTAAGTATTCCTCATGTATACACCTTTATATTATAGCTATAATAGTACTTGCGATGTTATTGGCCGAGAACACTTGAAATCCATGCTCTATTTAAGCAATATAGAAGAAAATTCCGTGATCTCTTGGCGAAATAGATCACGCGGGATATTGGGAGAACACGAAAAAAGGCCCAGAAAATCTCGAGACGTAGGCGAGTCCCCGCTAATTCTCCGTATTCCCCGGGTAGTTAGGTATGGGGCATTCTACTGACTAGTGCATTACGCAGAGGGTGCTGTAGTTCTATGCAAGTGAAGTAAGTCCTTCACGTCATAGATGAACACAAACTTACATTTACTTTCGTTTTCCTTTTCCTTTATCTTTTAGTCGAAGTCCTTCACGGTAAACAACACGGATGATGCTTCGTCGGTAGTAAAAATGTCCTTAGAACAATTCCAAATTCAGGTAACTATTTCTCTTTCAATACACAGATTCCAGATGAGAAAAACTAACATGCAAATGACAATTCTTCGTTTTCAGGTTACGTTATAGTGGCCATCTTGGRGGATCTTTAACAAAAGATTTCTCATTAGTATCTATTGTTCATTCCTCYAAAATGGCCGCCGATCTTTTTTCTTTTGAATCTCATGATAAAATGGTTGAAAACGATCATTGCTGCGAGAATATGTACGAAATAACGGTAAAAGTGASCTMTTTCGACGARCAAATCTGTACGCTCTGACTTTCAGTAATATAGCATATCGAGACTCGTTACAAGGTTCTAGCCAAAAAAAGGAATTTACTTAAGGTATCCAAGAATAAATACAATGTTGCTCTCCCTGACCGGAATAAATGATAAATCATGAAATCGTTAATGCTATATTTTGTGTTTGTATTTAGACCGATGATGCAAGTGAGTATCATTTATGGGTTTTGTCAGGAAAAGAAAATTGTGCTTATCCCCTTCTTGGTAAGTGAAAAATRATTTAAAAAAATTTGAGGCTCCAGCACCCTACTGTTCTATACATGCATCAGGACTCTTTCGAATAACAATGCGTCCGCCATCTTGAAAAGTGAGAACCGAGTCACTATGTTGTGCCTTAGAACACATTTCGTATTTGCTTAGTCCATTAATCTATCATTATATCGTATATTATATTAACTTGACATTAGCTGAGAACCTTTTAGTTTCTTTAGGAGTTATAATTTAGTGATTCGAGTCCCACTTTTCAAGATGGCGGACGCATTGTTGTCCGACTACTCACCCATAGTTGCAAATTTTTGAAGTTTGCATGCATTTTCTGTACATTTTCGTGGTTTTAAATGCTTGCCACTCTGCAATTGTCCATCTGAGTAAGCTCTAGCTGAGCAAGTACACTGAATTTAGTAAGCTCTTTCTTGTCATGGGAGCCGAAACTCAGAGGGATTTTCAGTCATTCTTTACAACGGAGTATCTGAAATATCGGAATGTCCGTAACAATATAGTATATTAACTATGGTAACAACGGGTGTCCTTAAGGAGTGTACAACASGCGAGAGTATCTTTGCCCTCAATTCTTRATATATCTAATTGATGGTRAATTTTAGGTCACGAATTCCCTTTCGCCATTAAAATGAATCACATCCGGGAAGGATCGTCGTCTGATGATGATGGCCTTGGTGTGTTTGACTTCGACCAGCAATTACCATCAATGGACCCATTATCACCAAGCACACAGTGTCAGTTTATTTTGACTAAGAGTAGAAAGCCTTCTAAGCTGTCTTCCATGGGTATGTTTCATGATTTTTGATTTGCTTCTGCATTATTCTCATCCAGCTACCAGACTGGATTTCCTTTGTCAGTGAGGACGAGGGAGGAATGTGAACCATTTAAATAAACGACAAGAAGCATACTGGACATTAATAATTGACAACTTTTCACTTTTCACACAAAAAAAAATTAATTTATATACAAGATTGCAGAATCAAGACTGCCTTCCAAAGGAGGCTGTTTCACTTTGAACGGACAGAGCCTTAGTAGCCTGTCCGTCCATCTTTCGCTCTCTGTATTTGTGTGTCTCTGTTTTCTTTCATTTCTCTCTTCATTTCCAGACGGTCAGCAATCATCGAAAAAATGGACAAAACAGATCAAAAAGTCWCCCATCATTAACTGGGCAATGCACAAGAAGACATCAGGATCGAAAAACCAATGCCCAGATCCCGGCTCTCCGCCAGCTGGAAAGTGAGATACTAATAAATGATTTATTAATTATTCATAAATGATTGGTTGATTAAAAAAACTATAAGCGCGTAAAAGATCCTGGTTAACGTTAGATCTTTGTGCGTTTGATTTTTCAGACAATTTGAGCTACCTCTAGATGATTAATAAATGATTGATTGATTGATTAATTAATTGATTGATTAAAAAAAACTGCAAGCACGTAAAGGATTATGGTTAATATTAGCTCTTTAAATTTGTGCGTTTGGTTTTTCAGACTATTTGAGCTACCTTTAGATGTTCTTTGTACCGAAGAAGAGCCTGTGCCTAAACCTATACAAGATATTTTAAAGCATATGTTTAGGTTTGGTCCCGGGGTCAATGGTATCTTTAGAAGATCAGCCAGCGCAAAAAGAGCAAAAGAGATCAAACTGGATCTTGATTCAGGTATCGTGATTGGTTATAAATGTAAGGCGTGATCTGTTATCCTTCATGAGTTAGTAAGGTWTCTTGTGATTGGAGGAATAAAACAATGCTCATTGTTTCCTCRTTCTTAAATCCTATTGTTTTCTTTTATTTAACAAATAGCTAGTAAACCAATCGGATAAGATCTTGCAAAACCGTGAAATGGTGAAACATGCATCACATTTTTTTTATTTTTAAACTGAGAGTGAATGGTTTAAAACCCAGTTAGCCTGCTAGCAGGCGTTCCTGCTGGGGGACCAAGAAGGAATGGGGAGGAGAAGCGGTTCTCGGCCCCTTAGCAGGAATGCCTGTTAGCATGCTAGAACCCAAGTGTTGGAAGCGATGTAGATGTGATATGATCGTCCGGGTGTGAATCTTGAGGAAGACTGTTATAGTTACCTGACGTTTTGACATCCTGCGTGGAAATCATCAGAAAACAAGACATCTCACACCCAGACAATCATATCACATCTACATCGCTCACATTTGGGTTCAAACTATTCTAAAGTTCTATTTTAAAGTGGTACTGGTTGTTTCTGGTTGGAAGGTTAACTTGACGAACTTAATAATCTGTATTGCAGGTAAAGAGGTTTTGTTTGAAGAAGTCTCGGTCCTAATCACGGCTTCGATTTTAAAGGTAAAAAAAGATGTTTATCATGGAATTGTTCAAATAAAAAGCCCAATCTTATAAAAAACCCTGCCATATTTCTGCCCTATAACGCAGTTAACCTTATGAGAATCCCAGCGGTTGGACATTAACCGTTGTTTGGTATTTCTGTTATCCCGAAGACACCTGAGGGTCATACACGAATTTGAGCGTTGATGAAATGCACACGTCTTCACAAAAATGGCGGTAGTTCACGACCGGTATGTTTTTATAACCCAAAAAAAACTCTTGTGCAAAACACAATGGAGGCTTAATATACGGACGCTGGACTTTACGACCTCATTGAAGTGCTTCGTCCCCAATGCCCTGGTCGGCGAACGTGACCAGTTATCGCGCCATTTTTGAAAGTCGTGAATGGAAGTCATTGTATCAACTGCCTAGATAACCGTATTTTCCTGCCTGAACCAGTAGGAAGAAACGGTTAATTCTAAGCTATCTATGTATAACTAGAAAACCGACACAACTTAAAACCTTTCCTTTTTTTAGGAGTTCCTGCGAAGACTACCAGATTGTATTCTGGATAGTGACGATTATGAAGAGTTTATAGCTACTAATAATATCGGAGATCGAAATGAAAGAATTAAAAATATTAAGTGGTGAGCTTCTTTTACTGAAGACTTTGCATGTTATTACTTGTACATCAAATCACTGGGAAAAACGCACTGTATATTTGATGTAAAATTGTAGTAAATATCATGTAAGTAATGTTTACATGATTTTGGAAACGTACATGATATTTACATCAATTTACACACTTTTTACTTACAATGTAAATTTGATTGACATCATATTACAATCAATTTACAACCTTCAAGTAGCGCGATTGTTTTTCAGTGAATGTTGTTTTGTTTTGTTTTTGGAGAGGGGAGGGTGGATGTATTTGAACAGCCCTTTAATCTGTTACAGTCATGCTGTTTTTTAACTTTTTATTGAAATGAAAACATCGTCAAAAATCACCGCTGAAAAAGTTCCTGAAACATCAAACGATCGAGAATTCAAACTAGTCCTTGAAACTCTAATTTTTGTACTTTAAAAGTATACTTGAAAATTTCTAGAATTTTGTGATGAAAATATAGCACCGACGAACCCTGTTAAGCATGCAATGCATTTTTTTCTATTAACTATTTCTTTGTTGTTATTTTAGGTTACTACAAAATTTAAACGTGTACAGTTTTGAAATTCTCAAGCGATTTATGTGCGTATTGTATCATATAGCCGAAAACTGTAATATCAACAGTATGAACGCTTACAACTTAGCGGTTTGTGTTGCACCGAGCATGCTCTGGCCTCCAAAGGGATCGAACATCTCCCCTTCTGAGCAATCAAACGACGTTCCTCCATTTGTCCAATTTCTCGTTGAAAACTGCACTGAGATTTTCGGAGAGGAYGTTGTAACAGTTCTAGGGGATCGTAGTGAGATCGTACTAAACCAGGACTCAATTGGAGCTGAGAATGGTATTGAGATTAGAACTTTCAATAGCCAGTCATCAACTGATGATGGTTTAGAATCACCGGATCCTCTTAGTCCTCGAAATGAGCGAAGCTCAATACATCTTAGTGACTCCAACCTGTACGATCCAAGTGGCCGATCAAAAAATCTCTTGTCAGCCAATGTGCCCGAGAGAAACAGCGTCAGTTCGCCAAATACACCGTGTGGCTCTCCAAATTCGTCGCCTAAACTTCGGAGGCAAGGAAATTTTGATGATACCAAGGGGAATCGGAGAAGTTCCGAACCGTCCGAAGTGAATTCCGAGTCAATCAAAATGAAGATTAAAGGCATTCGGAAATCAGCGCGATCGCGTCGTCAATTGAGCAGCACAACAACTAGTGCTGAGCTAATAGAACACAAAAGTACWAAAACAACACCAAGTGGAAAGCGTATTGAAACTGCGGTTTTAAAGCGGGCACATTCGCCAATGACCGTGCAGGCAACCCCTGTGGATGGACCAACTATTTTGAAACCCATTTCAAAATTTGGATCGGCTTCAAATCTTGTAGCGACAGCCAATAAGGTTCCRGCWATGAAGCACGCCATTMGAACACAGTCGAGTGTAAACGAGGAAAGGGTATCATCTCCGGATAACACCGGCTTTCGGTCACCTTCACCTACAATGACACCTGATCAAGTGTTTCAAGCTGTGGATCGAAGGCGTCAACCCGCSGCGCCCTCCTACCACCAACATATGCTTAGGAAAATTGGCAGTAAACCTGCATTCTTTCAAGGGAAAAGCGAATCAGAAGATTCCAATCCTGTGAAGCATGCAAGTAGAGAAACGGAGAATCCCTCGCCGAAGGTTTTCAATCGTTCGTTTAGTGTTCCAAAAGAAGAGGCTATTTCACAGGAAAATGTAGAACTTTCACACAGCGAGCCAAGCTCTCCCAAGACCCCAAAATCCCCAACGATAAAATTAGAAGATGAGAATTGGACTGATCAAAGAGATGATCTTAGCACTAGTTCTGGTGGCTCGACTGCACGAAGACTCGAACACTCACCATTTGGTCTTAGTTTGCAYCACAAACGAAGCGACTCGACTAAAAAGGTGCAAAAATTCCAAAATCAAGGAAAAACTAAGCAAAAATCTCCCAATGAAAAGCAGATACTTCCCAATGGAGGGAATGCRTCTCATGCTTTGTTTCCACACTCCGAATTCTTTCCTCACGAAGCTACACAAGCAAAAACACAATTTAGTAGCGATCCTTCGTCTGCTGTWAAGTCATCTTTCGGATCACCCATGGAAATCAATAACAATCCGGTAAAAGTTTCGGGAATCAAGCGATACTCACCCGGATTAACACATCCGTCAACTTTGTCTACATGTGCAAGTAGTCCGGGAATCTCACCTTCGTTGAGTCGACGGAAAAACAGCCACACATCGTCGTCATCTTCGGTGTCTAGTTCGGACGATCGCTCCAGCGTCGGTACAGATTCGGTAGTTTCCGAAACAAAATCGACATCAACACAAATAACAGACTTAAAGGATCTTCTTAGTGTACAAGCTCAAAGTAATGGCTTGAAAATYAGTGCGGCAACAGCGGTGGAGATAGCGAAAGTTAAGGATTTAAGAGCAACTGGCGAAACTCGACATAACCCWGGATATACATCACCTAGTCATGATGACATAGCRAAGATGATGTTTACAGAGGAATCCTACGTGTAATATAGATGTTGAGTATTTGGAATTATAGTCATAAATGTTTCATTAGGCAATCTGTTGCCATACGGGATTTGCTTTGGAATGTCACATCACCTCATCACCTCTAGAAACAGCCGCTTCACTAAGACTATTAGAAAGAGTACTTCAGCATTGTRAAAGGTGTACGTTACATTAAATATCAAGCCAAATATATTATTTATCGTCCTGAAAAACGTATTGGCTTGTAAGCACTTGTCTGCCCTGGAATTTGATACAGTTTTTWGATCTAGAGGAGATGAGGTCACATGACTTTACAGTGCAAATCGTGCATGTACCGTTATTCTATTGATAGAAGAATTATAAATATCAAAAATATGAAGTCAGAAAAAATTTGATACAATTTGTGAGTATAGCCTATATCATGRGCGCTGTCACAAAATAAATATGTTTGCCCTTTTTRGGGTTTCARTATTATGGAAATGAAGTTCCAGTTTCACCCATCGAAAAGTTAAACCTCTAGTACAACAGACCCCTGTCAATCCATTCTCGTACCCAGATCCTTCTCACTTTCCAACGAAAAATCGAAGACTCTRGTTAAGAACGTGTGAGTCTTTGATTTGTTTGGTTCAAAAATTCTCATGAGCCACCAGATGCTTTTATCTTACGACCCAGATTCTAGGTCTTCCGGTGTATCGTATCCACCCAGAACCTTCGATTTTTCTTTGGAAACTGAGAGGATCTTGGTACGAGAATGCCTGTCAATCACCTTCATACCGGGGAGATCTAGGTACGAGTATTCTAACGAGTCACAAAGGTTATATTCACATCAATTAGACTAACTAGAAAGGTTTTATTATTCAAAGAAAAATCAAAATTGTTAAAAATCGTACCTCCGCAATCCGCATACCAGGTCTTTGCTTAAATTATTGTAAACCTTTCTAAATTTATCAAAACGAYGCAAAAATTGAGGAGGGTCTCTTTTGATATATACTTCTTTCTATTATTTCCTTAAAATCATGATGACGATTATCGGGCTCGTACCTAGTCCTCTCTGCCGGGTAGTGACTAATAWTTGCACATTCTTTTCCAAAATGCAGTTCTTTTAAAGCGAAGGAAGCTAATCATAATATTTGACGTCATATTTTGTATTCCTGTTTCAAATGATGTTGATTTTTAGGAAATAGTCGATCTGACACTAGTTGGGACTGTGGAGATTTTCTGTTACGTTTTCCTTTGCATTTTCTTGCTCGTATTCTTGTTTTCATTCTTGTTATTGTTCTTTTTCTTGTTCTTCTTTGCTCTTGTCTCGTTATTCTTGTCCTTCTTGTTGGGGATGTGAAGATTTTATGTTACGTTTTTCTTCGCATTTTCTTGCTCATATTGTTGTCTTTATTGTTGTTTTTGTTCTTTTCCATGTTCTTCTTCTTGTTCTTCKCTTTCTTCTTGTCCTTCTTGTTCTTTTTTTCTTTATCTTGCTGTTTTTCTTCTTCTTCTTCTTTCGCGTTTTGATCTTTTTGTACTTCTCTTTGCTCTTATTCCTTTCTTTCTCTTTCCAATGTATCTTCCATTACATATTGAGCACCTCTTAACTATGGCAGATATAAAATCAAATAAGTTTTCACAATTCCTGTCAGTGTCAGATTGGTATTTTTCCTGATGACCAACCTAGTTGAAATGGGTGTAAAGTCTTAAGTCACATTGACTTTTGTGCTCCATTAACTACAATAAAACAAAGATTTCCGAAAAATGCGATAAAGAGAGACTTAGACGCAACCAATAGAATCCAATAGTCAAAGTGCAGWAAAGATAAGATATGTAAAAGAAATGGATAAAATAGGGTCTTTGCAGAACATGGTCACATGACATAAAATTGAAATTATAGTCTCTAAAGATGATAAACACTAGATTTTGAAAAATTATGCATAAATTGATAATAGGTTTTTATTATCAATTGGGCACAAATTATATAAATCATTTTGGATAGCAATTAGTATGCATTCGGCTATAAAAACAATTTTTATTGAACCTAGGAGAAGGTATGCAAGATAAAATTATCTTTCCTTAGTTGACTCGGAATGTTTTTATAACCATACACATCATTAATAGCTGTCCAGCATGGTAGATTTTGTATCATGTGACCAATTGATTCAAAAGGCATATTACCGTGAATTTTTAATCCTAAGTGCTGAATGATTGGCAGGGCTTACCAGGTAGTCAYTGCCATGCAATCCCAGTTATTTTTAACAATTCCTGTAAAGGATCTATAGCAGTCCAATTCAATTCTTAACTCTTGATTGTCATCGTCGCTTGACAATGAAATTTGGAAGAGAGTTTCCCATTGGCCTTCGTGCAGCCGAACCAAAGCACAGTAGTTTTGGTTCGGCTGCACGAAAGGTAGTGTCCCAGTTACTATTACTATTCCTGCATTGGGATCTTTGTTTTATACTGGTTTTCCATGGGGCTTAATAGAATAGAACTTATCGAATGTAAATATGGTTGTATGTAACAAAGTAATTATGAAAATGCCCTTTGCAATGGCATAGATATATGTATGAAATTGAAGTATTAAAATTTCCAAAACTACGTCTGAMTTTATCCCACTTTGCATCCATCTATCAATCAATTGATTATTCATTACTTCCTTTTAACGGATGAAATGGGACTTTGCACGACATGGAGACATTTTCTTGTTCAATCACAAGGAACACAAAGAGAATGCCGAACCTCGTTAGACCGTCCTAACCCAAAAAGACTCTTAAAATTGAAGCTATAMGAATTTTTCGAAAATCCTCGCCAGTCTTCTAAATAAAAAGTTTTTGCAAAAGTCTCTTTACGGTTCCCTGCTCCATCTTGAAACGTAGCCGTGCCTTTTCATCGAAGCGAGACGACCGTTGAGCGTGCAATGAATGTGAAGTCCTAAAAGAAGGTT